AAAAAAAAAAAAGAATGAGGAAACAGTGCCAGACATGATGAATGCATCCAGTATGAAAGAGACCAAAACAAATAAGGGGAAAGAAAATCAACTTAGAACAAACAACTTATGCATGAAGAAGAAAACTTCAAAAATAACAAAACAACAAATATCATTAATCCATTCATATTTCTAGAAATATACTATATCTGTGAGTCAAGAGTAGGATGCAGTATAAAAAAAGGAACATTCAGAGAATCTCTACCCGCCCCCCGAAGATACTAAAAATACAGTAAAATGGAAAACTGAAGTGAATGGTTTGAAAGCTACAGTTAAAGAAGCCACTGGAATTCCTTCTCCAGAACACACATTGTGATTGCATTATGGTCCATCATCCCCCATCCACCAGTAAGAATCTACCACAGGAAAGACACTAAACCCATGGTGTGGTCCAGAGTAAACAAGATAGCATGAGGCCTCAGGACCCTTGGGCCCACTCATCACCACTGCTGTAGAAACAGTGAAGTGTTTCCTCAAGTCTGTGGGCTTCACAGCAGAAAAGGCAGAAGCACACGCACACACACACACACCTGGGTGCCATCAGGATGATGAGAAAGAAATGGAGAAGGGACTCAATATTACTGGGCCAGTTACAAGAACCAGCATAAAAAAGGGGAGGGGACAATGCAGATAAAATGGAAGAGAAGGGATCATTACCAAAGTTACTTAAGAAAATATCCTGCAATTGAAAGACATGAATTATTACATTTAAACAGCCCACTGACTATTCAACACAATGGGTAGAAATAGACCCATGCCAGTTTCAGAATTCTTGACAAGGAAGATTCCACAAGTTTGTAGACTTAGAAGGCAGAAATACATACAAAGGATCAGGAATCAGAATGGTTTGCGACTTATCAAAACAAAACTGGCAGCTAGAATTCTAACTTAGAATCTTGCAGCCAACCAAACTATCAACTCATATATTTGAGTTCTCAAAAAAAGTTATAGTCCGTAAACTATTACTCAGAAACCTACTGACGGATGTATAATGAGAGAGTAAACCAAAAAGGAGGAAGACATGAGATACAAGACATAGGAGATCTAACGTTGAGAGAGGTAAAGGCAATTCTCAGGGTGAAGAGGTAGGGAAAGAATTTCTCAGATGATAACTATACACTAGTCAGGAAGGTAGTCCAGAATGAAGCATTGTGACTCCAGACCCAGATATGTTGAGGGCCTTCTGTATTACACATTCTCATACCTGTTAATAATGGGTAGTCTGTCCCCAGAATCTTATCTACTTAGCTTGTAGGGACCATGTGCTGATGAAATTCTTGCTCTCTCCTCTGTACCCTGCTGCCTGGATAACCAAAGACATTCATTTCACCCCACAGAAGAATTTTGCTTTGAACTACTGCTGAGAGCTGAAGATTGGCCCCGGTAAGTAAGCTTAGACGCAGAAAATAGAGAGTACCCTACTCCCATTGATCATATTCTGTCACATCTCAGCACCTGGCCCACACTGCAGCCCTGCCAGATGCCTTCACTGTGTTGAGCCCTATGTTTCCTGGGACTCATTCTTGCCTCCCCTAAATGGGGTTATGATAAACTCTGAAAAGCTGAAGACAGACTGTGATTCTCTTAACCTAATCTTCTCTGAGAACCTTTCTCAAACAGTGGCAATAATGCTTTTTCCATGCACAGCCAGGTTTGTGCTTTCCTGGTGGTTTTTAAACTACCCTTTTTCATTCATTTATATACAAATACTTACAGTTAAAAATAAAATATTTGAGAAAATCTATTCTTGTCGTTCACCATACTTAAAAAAAAAAGTACATGAAGATAGCAGATTTAGAAAGAGCATTCTATAAAATTCAACAGCTATTTACAAACTAAAAACAAAATAAAACCCTTTACAAATTAGTAATAGACGGGAACTTTCTTAACTTGTGAACTCTACAGCATCTAATACATGTAGTAATGAAATGTTTAAAAAAAAGTTATCTTTAAAATGATGAATAAAACAAGAATATCTATTATCACCACTTCTATTCAACATTACACTGGTTGAAGGCTTGTCCAATATAGTATTTGCAAATTGCATGATCATGTACAGAAAATGTCATAGGACATGTACCAAAAAACTACTAGAAGTAGTTAGTTGGAATTCAGCAAGGTCATGAAATTCAAATGAATATTCAAAAATCATATTTCTATATACTAGCAGCAAACAATTGAAAAGTGAAATTTCAAAAATACAATTTCCAGTAGCACCAAAAAAAATCAGATGTTTAAGGATTAAATTTAGCAACTGTATGTAGGACCTGCATATGGGAAACTACAATGAACAGTTTTTTGCTGAGAGAAATTTAAAAAGACCTAAATAAATGGATAGATATACCATTTTCATGGATTAGAAAACTCAATATTGTTAAGATGTCAGTTCTCCCCAACTGATCTATAAGTTTAATGCAATCATAATCAAAATCTCTGTGGGCTTTTTGGTAAAAATTAAGAAACTGATTCTGAAATTTATATGGGAATGCAAAGGATCTAGAAGAACTAAAACAATTTTAAAAAAGAATGACACAGGTGCCTGGGTGGCTCTGTCGGTTAGGCGTCTGCCTTCGGCTCAGGTCATGATCCAGGGGTCCTGGGATTGAGCCCCGCATTGGGCTCCCTGCTCAGTGGGGTGCCTGCTTCTCCCTCTCCTTCCCCCCGCCCCCCCATGCTCCCACGAGTGCTCTCAAATGCATAAATAAAATCTTAAAAAAAAAAAAAAGGAATGACAAAGAGGACTTACACTCCTTGATTTACTCTGTGCTGCACTAATCAAGACAATGTGGTATTGTCTTGATTGAATGAATTGAATTGAATGATTGAATGAATTGAAGAACGAAATATAGATCAATAAAACATCCAAAAGTAGACCATTCATCCATACTGACCTGATGTTAAGTAAACATTCAAAGGTAATTCTGTGGGGGAAAGGATAATCTTTTCAATAAATTGTGCTGAAACAACTGGATATTCTTATTTTAAAAATGAACTTAAACTCATGCCATTATAAAAGTTAATGCCATTACAAAAATTACTAGAATTGAATCATTTCCTTAAATGTAAAAGCTAAAATTATAAAACTTCTAGAAGGACGTATAGAAGTCTCTGCAGCCTTTGGTTAGGCAAAATTATTAAATAGGATACAAAAAACACAACTATAATGAAAAAAATTGATAAATTGAACTTTATCAAAATAACAAATTTTTTTCTTCAAAAGACGTTAAGAAAGTGAAAGGCAAGGGGCGCCTGGGTGGCTCAGTCAGTTAAGTGGCTGCCTTCAGCTCAGGTCATGATCTCAGGGTCCTGGGATCGAACCCCACGTTGGGCTCCCTGCTCAGTGGGCAGCCTGCTGCTTCCCCTGCTTGTGCTCGCTCTTTCTCTGTCAAATAAATAAAATAAAATCTTTAAAAAAAAAGTGAAAGGCAAATCACAGATTTGGAGAAAATACAAAATATATATCCAACAAAGGATTTAATGTTTAGACTATATAAAGAACTCTTACAACTCAAAAGAAGGCAAATAATTTTTTTAAACATGCGAAGATTCAACAAACTATCAAAGAAGATACATGGACCGCAAATAGCACATGAGAAGATGTTCCACAACAGTCATTAGGGAAATGCAAATTAAAACAACAGTGAGATACCACTGACACCTACAACGTACAACTAAAATTAAAAAAAAAAAAATACCCATGTTACACCAAGTGTCGGTGAGGATATAGAACAATACTCATACACTGCTGGTGGGAATGTAAAAGGATCCCGTCACTTAGGAAAGCAGTTTAACAGTGTCTTAAGAAGTTTAACGTTCACCTGCCGTTCACCTGCCGTACAATACAGCTATTCCTCTCCTAGCTTTTTACCCAATAGAAATGAAAGCATACGTTCATACAAAAACTTACTTATCAGTGTTCATAGCTGTTTTATTTGTTATAGAAAAAAATGGAAACAACATAAATGTCCACCAACATTTGGACAGATAGACAAGTTGTGGTATATCCATACAATGGAATACTACTCAGCGATTAAAGGAAATGAAGTATTGATACACATAACAACATGGATGAATTTTAAAATAACTATGCCAAGTGAAAGAAGCCATACAGTGAAGAGGATATACTGTGTTATTCCATTTATATAACATTCTAAAAAAATGCAAACTAGCTTTTGGAGATGATGGATATATTTATTATCTTGATTGTAGTGTTTCATGGATATATACAAATGTACCGATCAAATGTACACTTGAAATATATTCAGTTAAATGTAAGTCAGTGATACATCATTGAAGCTATAAAAATATATAAGCTACTGTTCTTATTTTGGGTAACTCACTAAGCTTCAGTTTTCTTATCAGTGAAGTGCAAAGACTAATACCTGCCTTATAGGGTTTATTTGAAGATTTTATTCATTTGCTTGTGTATCCAGGTGACTATGGTGCCTGCCTGACACAGAGCAGGTGACTCAATGTTAATTCTGTTCCAGCAGCCCCCTGCCTCTTCCAGGGGACTGATAAAGTTATTGGGGGCCTTCAGTTTACTTTCTTGAAACACTTAGCAACGTCTTAATGGCATATTCTTTCTCATTTTTTTAATGGCTAAATGTAATAGGCAAATGTATTAGAGAATTTAATAGATAAGTTTGCTTTTAATACTAATGAAAACCAGGCACCTGGGTGGCTCAGTCGTTAAGCGTCTGCCTTTGGCTCAGGTCATGATCCCAGGGTCCTGGGATCGGCCCCCGCATCGGGCTCCCTGCTCAGCCAGGAGCCTACTTCTCCCTCTCCGCTTCCCCTGCTTGTGTTCCCTCTCTCACTGTGTCTCTGTCAAATAAATAAATAAAATCTTTATTTTATACTAACGAAAACTTTTCCTTCTTATGAAAACAGTAGCTTCAAGCTCTGATCATCACATGACTTAACAAAATTTCAGTTTGCTTTCTTTTTTTTCCCCACAGGGTTTATCCATGGCTCAGAGGACTGGGTTATACATCCTTGGGTATATTTTTAATGGGATTTCTATTATGGAACATAGATAACATCTTTTGTGATTCACTGAGGTAAGATATATTTTCAATCTTTAAGAAATATTTTTGGAAGCAATCTATTAAGCAGAAAATCTCATAGGCATATAGAATTATTAGTGCTATGAAGTGAATTTTTCCCATTGTTGAAGTTAAATTCTGAGAATACTTGCTTAATTAACCTAAAAATTTGGACCTCAGACTATTACATAATATCTGTAGGGATTTTTGTGTGTATGCATCACAGAATTACAGAGTTGATCAGATGTTAATTAGGCCTCTGAAATCTGCCTAATCTCCTGTGTTGAAAAAATACTAATGATTTGTAAGAAGCATATAAGATACATGCATATAATTTTGTACTTTAATATACTTAATGTTATTTTCTAAGAAAGGCAAGTGTTCCTTTTACCATCTTGTCAGCAATTTTGTATTGACTAGAGTTTGAATTTTGGGTCTGTGGACCTTAGTCTGTCACTAAGATAAATATCTTTCTGGGCCTCAATTTACATAAAATGAACATGTTGAAGAGGTTAAACTAGTGGGTCCTTCCAACTCAAAATTCTGTGCCCTAAAGTTTTGCATAAACACATATATTGAAAAGCACCAGAGAGAGGCAATCAGCAAAATTCAGACTGTGGGAAATCTACAGGATAAATGGCAGAGGGGGTAAAAAAGGGAAGAGGAACATAGAGATTAAAAGAGACTTAAGGGGCGCCTGGGTGGCTCATTCGGTTAAGTGTCCGACTCTTGATTTTGGCTCAGGTCATGATCGTGAGCTGGTGAGATGGAGCCCTGTGTGTCAGCCTCTGCGCTCAGCGAAGAGTCTACTTGGGATTCTCTCTGTCCCTCTGCCCCTCCCCCTATGGGCGCACTCTCTCTCTCTCTCTCTCTCTCAGGAAGGAAGGAAGAAAGAAAGAAAGAAGGAAAGAGAAAGAAAGAGGAAATAAAATATCTAAAAATAAATAAGAGACTTAAGAGATATACTGTATCAACCAAATGCAGAGTGTTGATTTTTTAAAATTTTGATTCAAGCAAACAAACTGCAAAACAAAATTTTAAACTTATGAGAATTGGAACTTTAATCAGTAATGGAATATTTTGTGATATTAAAGGATTATTGTTAATATTTTATATGTGAAAATGGTATTATTATGTTTTAAAGAGTTTTTTTTTAAGATTTATTTATTTACTTATTAGAGCAAGCACGAGAGGGAGAGGGAGAGAGAATCGCAAGCAGACTCCATGCTGAGTGTGAAGCCCTACTTGGGGCTTGATCTCATGACCTTGAGATCATGACCCCAAGATCACAACCTGAGTGGAAACCAAGAGTCAGTCACTCAACCGACTGCACCACCCAGGCACCCCTTTAAAGAGGTTTTAATCTTTTAGAGACACATACTGAAGTATTTAAAGTTAAAATGATACAATATCTGGGATTTACTTCAAAATATGGAGGGGGAGAAGTAGATGAGAGTCTAGATGGTTGGCTGTAAGTTATAAAATTGTTGAAGCTGGATAATGGGTACATTATAATTTTGCCCACTTTTGCACATGTTTGAAGTTTTCCAAAATAAAAAATTCAATAAGTAAATATATATTTTAAATGTACAAAAACAAACAAGTAATATACCTTGCTTAGAAAACTAAGTTCTGAATGAGTGGTTCTGAATCCGTATTACCCAGCAGAAGCCCCATTAGAGCGTTTACACTGCTGAGATAAGTCATCCTCCTCTGGGTAAGAGCCACTAAGAAATAAAGTAGGTTCTTAGAGATGGTAATTGTCTCAAAAACTCATGGGATATCTAGAGAAATAGTTTTACATTGATTTTTTTTCCCTTCTAATAAATGAGAATATTACTATGGTACACACTTAATCGAAAGATGTAGAATTTGAGACTCAGCTGCGCCTAGGCTGTCCATTAGTACATTACCTTAAAAAAAATGAAAATAACTCTTGTATAGTTCTGATAGGACTTCTCAAAGCCTTCTTTCTATTAATAGACATTGCAGTTTCCAAGAGAGCAATAAACTATGTACTATTTTCTATGTTTTCTTTGAACACAGAATCATTTCTTCATGGAACTTCTGCTAGGAACACTATTCCTCAAAATATACTTTGGAAAACAATATGCAGACTACAGCAGACTTAAGGAAATTAAATAATTGCCCTATCTGAGAATAACATTTCAAATTGCTCAAAGGCTGTCAGCATTAGTTGTTAATATTAAAAAAATAATAATACGGTGATTTCTTTCCCCCTCTTTACACAGGAACTTTCGAAAGAAGGTGCCACCCATCATAGGTGTTACCACACAGTTTCATGCATGGTGGCATATTTTAACTGGCCTTGGTTCTTATCTTCACATCCTTTTCAGGTAGGAAAGAGAGAGTTTTTTTAGCATAGTATTGAAGTATTTTTTTCCCTTTACCCTTCAAATAGGATGTTGTAAATATAAAATGTCAGAGACAAAAATCAGGGACTTATGTTCTAGCTTTGCCTCTGCCCCTGGGTGACCTTAAGCAAGTCTCTTCCCCTCTCTGAAGCTTAGTTTTCTCATCCTTTTCTTTTTTTTTTTTTTAAAGATTTTATTTATTTATTTGAGAGAGAGAATGAGAGAGAGCATGAGAGGGAGGAGGGTCAGAGGGAGAAGCAGACTCCCCGCTGAGCAGGGAGCCTGACGTGGGACTCCATCCAGGGACTCCAGGATCATGACCTGAGCCGAAGGCAGTCGCTTAACCAACTGAGCCACCCAGGTACCCCATCCTTTTCTTTTTTTAAGGTTTTATTTATTTGTCAGAGAGAGACTGAGCAAGCAGTGGGAGCGGCAGGCAGAGGGAGAGGAAGAAGCAGGCTCCCCATTGAGCAAGGAGCCCGATGCAGGACTAGATCCCAGGACCCTGGGATCATGACCTGAGCCGATGGCAGACCGACTGAGCCACCCAGGTGTCCCTAGTTTTCTCATCCTTAAAGTGAGATAGGTGTACTAATTGACCTCTGACACATGACCTACATTTTAAGTAATCATTCATCTCCTTTTTAGAGCAAGTAGAATGTAAACATTTCCATTTCTTTGTTTATCAACATATTTTGTTGTTGTTTGTCAACATATCTTTTTTTTTTTTTTTAATTTTTTTATTATTTATTTGAGACAGAATGAGAGACAGAGAGCATGAGAGGGAGGAGGGTCAGAGGGAGAAGCAGACTCCCTGCCGAGCAGGGAGCCCGATACGGGACTCGATCCCGGGACTCCAGGATCATGACCTGAGCTGAAGGCAGTCGCTTAACCAACTGAGCCACCCAGGCGCCCCAACATATCTTTGTTTATAGAGAACAAATTTAGAGGGGAAAAAGCAGCCAGATCCCCTAAGTAGCAGACTGGGAAAGCATGTGTATCAGAAGTTCCCAGCTTAATTTGTTCCTTCCCTGAGATAAGTTAGTTGCCAGTTTTCTTCCCTTGCTCAAGAGTCTGTTGGAGGTTAATCATTTACAACCAAAATGAAATTAGAATTCTCTCTAATCACACTATTCAAATAATGCCTCCATATCATTCTCCACTTACCAGGCTTTATTGTTTGCCCCCACCAGCTAGACTTAAAGTTCCTTGAGATAAGGGACTTTATCTCATTCACTGCTACCCTCTCAAATGCTTAGAACAATAGCTATCAGATAGTAAGCACTCAGTATATATTATTAAATGATTTAATGAATGAATGTGTACCTATTGATCTCTTTACTAGGGGGTCAGAATATGTTTAATCTCAAATTCTTCTCAAGAGTTGAGAGAGCTGAAAAATTTTAGAAAGGGGAAGAAAATTTTCTTTTGAACCAATGTGAAAATTTACTCAACTGAAATTTGTAGAATATTTCCTCAAAATAACATTTGTATCTCAACTCTCTGGAGATCAGTTTATTTAGGGAATGTGAATTATCTAAAATATAACTACCTGAGGATTATAGAAAAAGAACTTCTGGGCAGCTAAATAAGAATCATTGAATTCATGCTCTGAAGAGCTCAAGGTTATTAGTCATGGAAGAGCTCTTAAACTCTGACTGTGAGTATATTTATTTTACTTTTTGCAACCTGTTACTACATTGATTATTTGGATTCTCAGCCCATAGCACATTAGAAATAGCTAATTTAAAAGGGACGGGATAGGAAATGTTTGAGGAAATTGAAAAATGATAGAAGAGAAGAAATAATAACTATAAAATGAGCCTGAGAATTATAAACTTAGCACCTTAACACTGCCCAAGAAGTCCCGAGGACATTACTGCAGTGTAATACAATACAGTCATAAAGTTCTATAATAAATAAGAAGTGAAAGTATACTCATCATATGCTATTTTTTTAAACATTAGGGTTCCCACTTTCCCCTTCCCTTTTTCACCTTCCCCTTTCCGTTTCCCTTTCCCTTTCCCTTTCGCCTTCTCTCCTCCTGGTATGGAAACCCTTCAGGGAGGCGGGGTACTGAGCGGGGAGAAGTGCTGTGCCGTGGTGGCCGCTTTCAGTGTGTGAGGAATGAGGAAACGAGGTCAGATCCGGTGGTGATGGGGAAGTGGCTGCTGTGCAGTTCAGGGAAGCAGAGTGAGGAGGGGAAGGGATATGGCAGGGTGGGTGGAGGAGGTGGCTGGAGTTAGGAAATGGGTTACACTGAACAAGTAAATTCATTGATTAAACAATAAGTAAATATATTGGAGATTACAAAAGCCTGATTTCTCCACTGTCTCAGAAGGGATTTACAAATATGGAAAGAGGGAAAGCTAGATGGAATCTTGAGGGGGTTAGATTAGAATTTAAATTATTAGGGGCACCTGGGTGGCTCAGTCGGTTAAGCGTCGGACTTAAGCTCAGGTCATGATCTCAGGGTCCTGGGATTGAGCTGCACATCAGGCTCTGCTTAGTGGGGAGTCTGCTTCTCCCTCTGCCTGCTGCCCTCTCCCCTACTTGTGCTCTCTCGCTCTCTCAAATAAATAAATAAAAATCTTAAAAAATAGTATTAGTATGAACTCATGAGTGTGTGACATCAACATCAATGTACACATAGATATGGAAAAAGTTAGATGTATGTGTGTTGTATAAGTTATAAATATATATGTATACATGTGCTTACACATGCATGTATTGCTTAGCTCTATGAACCCCTGTGAAGGCTGAAAGGCAAGGTTTGGCCTTCTAAACCTGAGATAGTGTGAATATCAAAATTAAATAGCAAGAATTTCAAGTTATAACCCTTTGAATAAAATGAGAATCTATGGGGGCGCCTGGGGTGGCTCAGTTGGTTGAGCGACTGCCTTCAGCTCAGGTCATGATCCCAGAGTCCTGGGATCGAGTCCCACATCGGGCTCCCAGCTCAGCGGGGAGCCTGCTTCTCCCTCTGACCCTCTCCCCTCTCATGCTGTTTCTCTCTCTCAAATAAATAAATAAAATCTTTAAAAAAAAAAAAAATGAGAATCTATGAGTGCATACTAATACAAATAAATGAGAAGGGAAGCTCTTACAAAAGAATGCCCCATAACAAATGTAGAAGAGGGCGCCTGGGTGGCTCAGTCGTTAAGCGTCTGCCTTCGGCTCAGGTCATGATCCCGGGGTCCTGGGATCGAGCCCTGCATCAGGCTCCCTGCTCAGCAGGAAGCCTGCTTCTCCCTCTACCACTCCCCCTGCTTGTGTTCTCTCTCTTGCTGTCTCTCTCTGTCAGATAAATAAATAAAATCTTAAAAAAAAAATGCAGAAGAAACAGTGGTCACAAATGATCACCATTTGGCAACCATCTTAGAATAGTTGATATGTATTATTTATCAATGGATGCTCTGGCTGATAGATGGAAGTATGATGAGGAACACATATTGGTGTAATTTAGAATATCTCCACATGAAATACTAATACAAAGGGGGAAATGGTGACTTTACAGTGAAGAAAACTGGCAGCAACCAACTTGACCATGCATTTAAGGTTAACATTGCCATGACAGAGCAGGTCATTATGGTATGTCTCCTGATAAAATACACTGAAATGAGCTCAGCATTATTTCTGTAGTATTCCTGCCAAATATGCATGGCCTAGGTCTGGTTATGAGGAAATATTGATGGACCTATGTTGAAGGTCCTTCTACAGAATGCAAGTCCTATACTTTTTAAGACTATCAAGTTCATGAGACAAGAAAAGACTGAAGAACTGTTCTAGTTAGAAAAAAATTGTAAGATATGAAAACCAAATGCAGGGCATGTTTCTAGATAGCAACCTGGATCAGAAAGGAAAAAAGAGAAATTATTGGGACAGTCAACAAAATTGGAATGAAGGGGGCACCTGGGTGGCTCAGTCGTTAAGCGTCTGCCTTCGGCTCAGGTCATGATCC